GATGTTGCAGCCCTCAAAAGGGAAACCTTTGTGCTAAAGGAAGGTGCTGAATATAGAGTCAAAATTAACTTCAAAGTAAGTACCTTGCCCTGTGTGTTTTTATAAAGTTTAAATCTTTCCTATAATCAGTGACTAAATTTCTTGCATTATCGTGTTGGCATACTTTTTGTTTCTCACCCCACCCCCGACCTCCCCCCGTACGTACCTGGGTCTTGAACGTCCTATTCCCAACTCTCAGCTCTACCTGTTGAGACCTGCTCTTGCTTTGTGCCTTTCCCAGCCAGGACTTGAAACTGTCCATTGTCACTCAAGCCCATGGGATCCCTCTCTCTATGAATTCCTAATATAGCCATGAGGCACATACTGTTTTGTATCATACCATCTGTGTCAATCCTACTTTATACAACATGAGCACCTTGAGGTACAGTAAAATTATATATCCCTTCTTTCCAATATTTCACACAAAACTTTGTATATGGAAGATATTTATTGAATATATATTGAGAAGTGAACAAATGAATGAGTCAGCTAATAGAAAAATAGGACAGATAGGGCCTCAGCTCTAACTGCTCGATGGCTGTATAAATCCAGGGAGTGTGGTCTTTGCTAAGTAACTAGAAATTATAATTATAGTTGTGGAGCAGGTGACCAGGTAAGAGCAAAACTAAATAAGGAACAAATCAACATCTAATGAATAGCCGTATATTCCAATGAATAGCCCAAATCACAGGAAAAGTAACCTTGACTTTGAAAACAAATAATTCAGAAATGCACTGTTTGCACTTAATGGTTTGTGTTTGTCTTGGCCGCTCCTCATTCCCTCTCAGCCTCATTCTCCAGGGCCTGGGCTCCACCAAGGAAGACTCCATCTGTTTTCTCTATTTGCACACTGGGACCTTCTTTCCCCTAGGTGCAGGATATGATTCAGGGTCAATGGACAATCACTCACCACATACAAATATGCCTCAAAATAATTTCATTCTGAAATATTTGCTGACACCTTCTCTATAACAGGCACTGAGCTATGGTTCACTTACTTGTTTCCTGTCATTTATTACTGAAACACCTGAGGTTGGATAAGGCATTGTATCTCAATATGCCTACAATGGGTTCCACATCAGTTCAATTTTTAGTTATTGATGGTATTGCATTAGTTTGTCAATTTAGCAAGCCAGTTTTTATCAAGTGAAATGTGACAGGTGAATTTTGATGTGAATAAGATGAGAAGGAAAGCTCTGGGATGTGGGTTTCTGCTGCGAGTGGGGAGGCCGGGTAGGAATGCAGTGGTGTGGCTCTGGGGGGTCTGGGTTACACATTAGGGTGATGCTGAGGGGGGACAGGGAGGGGCTGCCAAGACCCATCCACTTCAGTGGTTTGATCACTCTCTGTGTTATCCATGTGAAGCTGAACCACCTTGTGGCCTGTCCCACATGGAGCTACAGTTAGAAGAAACAAAAAAGTCAAAACGTAATTGAAAAGCAATTTCAATTCTTACTAACATCTCTTGAAAAATGCCCAAGAAAGTTTGCATGTGTAACACCACATCCTAAAACCTTCTTTCTTTATCTCTGTTAGTTGCTCTCGATGTTCTTCTCTTTCTCCTCCCAAACTCTACAGCATTTTCTAAAAACCTTGCCTAGGATGGTTTGCTTAGGTCCCCCCTGCCTCTCCTTCTGCCTCCCAAGGAAATGTAGTATCTCTGACTTCCACAGGTCCTCACTCTTACTCATATCTCCGAGGCTTCTTCCTCCTGGCGTGGGAGACACACTGGGGAGGGGTTGCAGGCAGAAGAAGATGATACTATGAATAGTCGTACTTTCTTTTACCCATCCCAAATGTAGCGACCCTCTATGGAGCAGTGGTAAAACAGCAGCTCTTTGTGTTGAAGTTCTTATTGCTATTCCACTGCTATTTTTCTTCTTGGATCTTTTTCCCACCAGGTCACATCTGCCACTTGGTCCAAGGGACAAGATTAGGGACATCTAGAAAGATGTATTAATTTTCCCCATTCCTATGAGCTACATCAGGGATACAGAGTCATTAGAAAGTTTGGGCTTCATTTTGTCACCATCTCTTCAATAAAGCTCTTTTCATTCTGCCTGCTTTGGGGACGTTTATTCTACAGATATCCTGAGTGACAGTTTAGAATCTAAGCTGGCAGTGTTCACTGTTCTGCTACCCTACTGCCAACAAAACAAGAGATAGCACAGGTTAATTGGTTTAACTACTGTGGCCAACACAATAAGGGAGTCATAATTATTTTTGGGGAAAAATTATTTGAAGATGCTTCCATTCTTCATATTGCTGAACAGTTAACCAAGCACTCCAGCTAATGATCCAATGTCCACTTCAATTTGTTTATATAGACATGACCACTGTATAAAATTAACAGACAACCCAGGTCAGTCCCAGGTAAAATGAATCATGGAAAAACAAAGTGCTTGGACTGTCTATAGTTCCATTCTGCTTTAGTGAATTTTCTTTGACAGGATTGGGAAAATAGCAAGATTTCAGACAACGCCTGGAAATGACAGATGTCCAAAGTGCTTGCCAGATGCAAGTGGATTTCACCAATTATGAAGGATGTTTTTGTGCCACCCATTTCACCTCTAGACTCCACTCTCAATTGCACTGCAGGCACAACCATCTTCTAGACCGGATTTTCCATTACGCCTTTTCTCCTTCTTGTTTGTTTTCCATGTGCTAGGTGGATCATTTCCGACATTATGGTTTTTGGATATTTACAAAATATTTTCCATTGGTATCTTTATAACCTTTTCTAAGACAAGGATGGTTTCCTGGCCAGTAGTATCAGGGAGGGGGAGGTCCAGGCCCTTCTTTGGACCATTGAGGAAGGAGAAATACCATGAGGAATATTGAGAGGAGATTTCAATGACCCACCCCTTGCCCATAAACAAAAAAAGCCACAGTATTCACTAATTAAAACAAGATTGACAACACTGTGATCTCCTCTTTCTAATTTCTGCATCATGACCATGCTAAATGAATGTAGGAACACTTATTCTGAACTAAGTCTTCAGTCTTTTCATTCTCAGTGAAGATTCAGCTAGGAAGGATCAGCATGAAAGATGAAGAAAAATGAAGGACCCTCTTTAATCTGAATTGCTTGGATCCTTCCCGCCTACAGGTGAACAAGGATATTGTGTCAGGCCTGAAATATGTTCAGCACACCTACCGAACTGGGGTGAAAGGTAAGTGACCCCACACTTCGCACTGTCCCAGACTGCTTCTCACTGATACTGAAACGTCTGGTTATTAATAATTGTGAGTCGTAGACTCATGAGAATCGATAAAAGCTGTGGACAGGCACACATACCCCTCTGGCCTAGACATTAATAGCGAGGCCAACGTTCAGGAGACCTAGCTGAGAGTAGGTCAGCCACTAACCTTCAGCAATCAGCTTCTAGAATTCAGCTTTATTACTCATAAAGGGGAGAGTAACCGAGATAAGTCTGAATGATATAAAGTGCATAAAAATACTCTCGAAAGTGAAAAAGCAGTTCATGGGTGTAAAACCCAAGTGTCAATAAATCCAAGACGAGAAAGACTTGCCCAGTGGTATGAGTGTTAGGGGTGGGAGTTGGGGCGGTGGCATTGATCAGGGGGAGTGCTCGATTTGCTAACAAAGATATAGAGAAAAATGCCCTTTCTAGGATTGAGAAAAGCTGTCTAATTGAAACAAATAGTATGACATTACCTAATCTGCAGTTCTCGACATGCCTTGGGAACCTGGTTTCAGTTTCCTTAGTTAATACGGGCAGAGAGAAATGAGAGGCAGAAGGTGATGGAGAGACCTTTACAGTCCCTTTTCACCTGAGGTGCTCTCTTCTCTTCCCAGAGGTGGGAAACAGCAAAGCATAGGTCAGTTCTACCGAATTAATAAACACAAGATTAGGGAGAAATTGTCTGATAAATCTGAATGACATGGAGAACCAATCAATTGCTCAAATCCCAGAGAACATTG